AAGTTCAACCGGCCGCTGGACAGGATGTCTATTACGTGAGTGACTCGGATGGGTTTTTGTCGACGAGGCTCACTCTTGCCTGTAGTTGAGGAACATTGTACATAACTGGCCTGACGAACAAACCAAAATCATATTGCGAAATGTAGTCGGTGCGATGGGCAAGCACAGTCGACTTGTCATTCGTAACTCCATCTATCTGCTTTCAACGTATCACCACTCATAGGCGCTTCCAATAGACGAGTACGTTCTGCAACATGCCGACAGAAGGTCGAATGAAGCTAATCGAGGTGTTGGGACTGAATTGGTCAGTGATCAGAGATTCAGTATGACATTGAGAGTTTACTGACGAGGACACTAGGCACCGCCTCCTATGCTTCCGAATTATGGGATGGGGAATATCAGGATGTATAACCAAGACTTGGTCATGCTTCTAATGTATAACGCAAGAGAACGAACGCTACAGCAGTTCATAGATATTGGGTATGCACGCCCTTGTTCTCGGATAACTCTCGCTGACATCGTCGCCTTTTTGTAGGAAAGAAGTGGGATTAGAGTTGATAAAAGTGTACGATTTGGCGGAGATGAGTTTATTGGAGTTCCGTTTGGCAGAATAAGTGCTGCCCTTCGTTTTATCTGTGTAGCATCGAATGTCTACACGGGTTTGTCGAGATCTTTACCAGCAGTGTGGCCAGATATGCAAGAATCAAGTAGTGGTTGACGACCTTCACGAGAGCAGCGAAATTTGTGTATGAAACCTCGTGTACGTACATCGTTGGACATAGGTTCGAATGAAAGGGGGTACGAATTGGAAGTGTAAGTTACAAGCAGTCGACGATTGCGGCTGAAAATCTATTGTGGTCCCACGGCATTCAGACAGGACACATGCTCGACTGTAGACCGGGACACGCCACGTAGACTCTTGCTTCCTACGTCCATCCAACTCCATGGAAGGCATCTCCCTGCCACCCGAATTGTATCGTCCAATATCAGAACAAATCGACTCTACCGATAAACAAACGCTATGTGCTCTCGTTCTCGCGTCCAGGACTTGGTATCAAGAATCCATACATTGGCTCTATCACACCATCCAATACATTGACCTCCTCGACATCGTAGATCCCCTCCTGCTCTTCCTCCAACTGATTGCGGACTCTCCTAGACACGCTAGATACGTTCGATCGTTCTCGATCCGACTTCGTGGGTCTCTATCGTACCACAAAGCGAGTGTTCCACTCGCCCGTAGTCTCTCGAACATGTCCAATCTCGAGACTTTGGAGTGTTTAGGGTCTATTAGACCTCAATACGCCTTTGCTTTGGCGAAGACGTGGTACTTCCCCTCTCTTCGATCCTTCAAGTGGATGCTCCTCGAATCCTGGAGGGATGTCCCTATCTTCGTTGAGCGACACCCGCATCTTAGGGAGTTGACGTTGAGAGGCTGGAGATATGCCCAGGATAGAAAGCTCGACAAAAGTCTCTTACCAAATTTGGAGGTTGTAAAAGGAGGATGGGGTGGTATTATGGCGGTTTTGAACGAGGACAGGAGGAGCATATGGCGTGTGGAGATAAACCTGTTGTCAACCAAGATGGTGGAAGGAGGTCCGTATAAGACGGTAAAGAGTTTAACCGTTGGGGGACCTGTGAAGATATGCGTGCTTGCCATGACGTTTCCTCTATTGGAGGAATTGGAAATGAGATTGATCATTTCCGAGGTGAGTACTAACGATATCACAGAGGGAAAGATATAGTAGACTGATTTTCGATCTGCAATTAGAGATTGGAGGAAGATATGCAGTCCTTAGTCAAAGCTTTGCGATTAAAGACCATTTCCTTTGGAGGTTGGCTGGATGATGACATCGAGCATCCACAGGCAGACCGAGAGCGGTTTGTTAAGAACCTGTTTCTTATCTCGGAGTCCCTGATAAAAGTTGAAATCAATCAAATTCTGCAAGGTGAATGCGATGTGTACCATCGGAATCTGCTGCTGGAGGAATCAGGCTGAAGGCAGGTCCAGGCAAGTGGGTTGTCGCGGGTGGGTTAGCCCACTTCCTCTCGTTCTTGGTATCACCGTATCATTGAGACGTACAGTAGATTGGAATTCGGAGTTCCTGCACAAATTAACAACTTGACCCACTCGTTGGAGGGACGAATATAATCCGAGTCGGCTAGAGGACTTCGAAGAATCGAACACTTGAAAGGACTGGTGACATTGTCTCTTATCGTACAACGGGAAGTACGCATGGAAACTATCTCGTCAAACTCTGACCTGCTACTCTTCATGATGTCCGGGTTCGAATCCCGGTGCGAGGTAGTACCGCAACAGGAAACGCTCGACATTTTATTTGAGATGCGGCCTCGTTTACTGCACATCTTCCAAGGACAGAACAAGTCGATTCTCCGAGTTCGAATCCCGGTCAGAGACATGTCCTACGGTGCCATAGAGTCATTTTTGACATTGGAAGGAAGATTTATACCCTGAAGCTATGCAGCCTACAGGTGGATATTAGATGTAAAAGTCGGCTTTAGAGTTCCTGTACGAATCGATATCGATACCAGTCTCGGATTGTGGGGTCAAACGGCTTCAGGTCTGTAACAATAGACAAGTCCACCATCTCTTATCGTACAACGGAAAAGTACGCATGGAAATGGTCAAGCACAGAGACGATAGCCCTCTATGAAACCCGGGTTCGAATCCCGGTACGAGACATACTGAAAGCAGGCTTATGATTTTTTGGATACTGGCCTGTTACGGTATGTGCTGGACGTTGAATGCAAAGTACCCTCCCTCTCACGCCGTCGAGTGCTCAGATGTTGGGACTAAAAAAATCGAATTATACGTCTCGACAGTACAATACATTACAACGTGGAGTATCTCTCCAGGATGAGAGTAAAGAATGAAATCCCATTCACCTAATTCCGCCCCTTCCCACCCGATCCAAGTCCTTTCGCTTTCTCCCATTCAACGATCCAATCAACCGTTTCCAACAATGTTTCTTCCAGCCCTTTCCACTCTCTCAATCCTAGCACGTCCCCAGTCAATTTCGTATCAAACGGTGCTTTCGTCTGCGGGATAGCCCCTTCTGCGTCTTCCTTAGGGAGTCTACAATCCAACGAAGGTCGTTCACGTCGGATGATAGAGGCTGCTTCCCTCCATGTTAACGTTTGCGGAGCGGTTAAGATGAATCGCTTCTTTTGTTGATGATTGTGGATGACGGGGAGGGATTTGTTGATGGATAGTCCGGCTACGTGTGCTTTTGCGACGTCGCGTACGTGCACGTAGTTCCCTATTGCGATAGGTGGGTAGGTTTTGGAATCGAAGAGTTGGTAGAGGAATTCGATTGTGGATAAGCCTTCGCGGTTTGAAGGGAGAGGAGCGGTTGGGATTCGAGGGCCTAGGACCATTGAGGGTAGGACTGGTAGGGGTGTGCGTCAGTATATTGGAATGAAAATTACGGAGGAGGGAAATAGGGAAGGGAAGGCACGTACATGAAATAAAATCGATATCGGGGTGTTGATCGGCCAACTTCCAGAATTCCTTCTCGGCGATGGTTTTGGAGTGCGCATATGCGGTGAAAAGAGGTGTATTCTTGATGTCGATTTGTTCGAGTGTGATATCAGACCAATCTGTGTAAACGAAAGGCGGCAATGATGAGGAAGGGTAATTTACAATTGGAAGGGAGGTTTCGGCCTTACCGGTGTTGGTGATGAGGTCGTCATCAGACAATGCACGAGCGAGATCCGCTGCAAGATAAAGCGACGTCAATGAATGAGGTGCATCTATCGAGGGGAAGAGGCGTACCATTGAATAATGTGATGAAACTACTGGTGTAGAGTAACTTCTTTACGCCCGCTGCGATACCCGCTTTGAAGATGTTCAACGTCCCATCGACGTTTTTCTGGACAAAAGGATTATAAAAGCGTCAGCGACTTCGACATGGAGAATCGGAATAAGACGGAAACGAACCTCAATCATATCTTCTGGAGTTGAATCGGAGAGTCCTGGGGATACGGTATGGATGATTGCATCGACGCCTACACACAGAGATCGCCGTGGTCAGCTACAACGTCAAGCAGAAGAGAGAAGGAGTATAGACCCACCTTTGACGGCCTCGGATAAGTCACCTGCAGAGATATCGGGTACTTCTACAGTTTGAAGTCGTTCGCCCGCAGCAGGGAATGACTTCCTGATCGACTGTGCTCGGCCAGTTCGAGAAAGGCTATCATGAAAGTCAACGATACATCCTTTCATGCAAATAGAATAGGAGGGAACATGATGTCGGACTTACGCTCTAACAGTCCACCCCTCGTTCAAGAGGATGTCGACGATATGTCCGCCAATATACCCGTTGGCGCCGGTAACCTATGGACACCAACCTCATCAGCACGGGCACGCTAACGAACCGAAGGACACTTACGAGAATGAGACCCTTTGACATTGCGAATGAGTATAAACGGTGCGTAGACAAGTTGAGTTGGGTAGAACTGTTTGCGTTTGACGAGTGAGTGGACTGGGGGATGAAAAAAAAAAGAACCTTTTGTCTGACTTTTTATATGCACTCCTCCTGGACCCTCTGACGTTCGCCATCCTTCATCTTGGTCATCAAAATCCAGTCCGATGCTTTCAAACCAAATTCGTCATTGTCTTGCATTGTCTCAATATCCACGCCATCCACCGTGTCCCGCCCAGGCCTTGAGGGACGCGTCATGGTGTCAACGAAGGAAGGCTGAGTAACTGAGAGAGTGAATAAGCCAAGTCAGGTTCGCCATCTTGGTTGTGTGGCACAGAGGAATGACGTTGAGAAGAGCGCTGGCTGAGTGGGGATCGGTCAGCGACAAGGCTGACAGAGCGCACATCCCAATTTGGTATTTGGTCAACCAGAGCTTGTCCCGAGCGCTGAGCTTTCCTCTGCAACCCCCGTTTACTGTACACATCCACCGAGCGCCAGACGGGAGCGGTGAAAAGGTACAGCAGGCCAACTAGGCCAATCGCAACTCACACCCCGTCTCTTATCGTACAATGGGAAAGTACGCATGAGAACTATGAATTTGAGAGGGAGATTTCTTCATGATGTCTGGGTTCGAATCCCAGTAAGAGACATTCGATTGAGAGAAACATCCCATTCTTTCATATTTTAATTTTGGGACTGGTGGCGCTTCGACACTTGACAGATTAGAAAGGGGGAACGACTACCTTCTCTTATAGTACAACGGAAAAGTACACATGGAAGTTGGCTCGTAACCCCAGCCAGCACTTTCCATGAAATCCGGGTTCGAATCCCGGTAAGAGACATAATAATCGGATTATGTAGTGACATTTTGTTTTTGATAATGACGACCGACGGGTGCTGGAAGGTTGGGGTTCTGAAGGTTGAGGTCAACCTCGGGCGGTGGCGGAGTTGTTTTTGGGTGTGGTCAGTTTATTGTTATGCTACGGCAGTAAGTCTCTTCGATAAAGCCCTCCCTGCCGCGTAACTTGTCCAATCGAATTGAAGCCCAGCCCATGATATATGATATCCGGGTTCAAATCCCGCTGAGAACTCTGATGCGAAGATTTTTGATTTTGATTCTCGAAGTAAGTTAGTGACTGTCGGTCTATATTACTAACTTACAATCACTGGTTTTGTGTGTGTGGAAATAGGTCAAGGAACCCTGCAGGAATAAGCAAGATCGTGGATGGGAGTGGCTTGCATATTGCATGCATTGACGATGGACTGGGACGAACCAAGGCCGGGCAACCACCCCGACGTTCTACGTAGGTATCGTCCAAGTATGCTACATGGAATCATCATCCTGGCACTTGCAAGAGGGCAAGACCTCACCGAACGTGTCTCTTATCGTACAAGGGGAAGTACGCATGGATCATATGGAAATCGTCGAAAGTTGAACCATGATATCCGGGTTCGAATCCCGGTGAGAGCCTCGCGTCTTTCGGAGAAATGTCCAATCTTTTTCGGGTCTGGTATGTACTGCTATTGTTTTGAGGTCGTTCATTCGTAGCAGAGAATGTGTTTTTTGATGGATTGTGCTTGTTTTTGGAGGAAGGGGTAAGGCGGGAGATGGAGGGTGTCGAATGATGCACGATGGTGGACATTGGGACTCGTGAGGCGTTGAGGATAGTTCGGTAGCTCAGAGGTGAAGCTGAAGTCTTGGTGGTAATTTGGATCCAACACTCAACAACTTGACGGAGCTCACATTTTCCAAGTCTCTTATCGTATAACGGAAAGTACACATGGAAATGATGCATGATGCCGGTGAAAAATCCTGTTGTACTCATTCCCCATGATATTCGGGTTCGAATCCCGGTGAGAGACATGACATGTATGGGATATTTTCATTTTTGGTAAACCAGGTCAGGAGGCTGAAGTATTCTGGGTGGGATTGAATATAATATAATGCTGTATAGCTTTGAATGCAACATACTGTAGACTTCGAACGAATGCGTTGATTTGACGAGCTGAAGTTATGATTGACCACATCACGGAAAGACTAGAAGTTGGTGGTGTCGGTGAGTACTAGTCATGGTGATGCCGTCACTTATCGTAGAATGGGAAATACGCATGGAAATGGTGCAATCGCCTCGGCGTCCTTCGTTCTCCATGAAATCTGGGTTCGAATCCCGGTTTGAAGAGATTTGCCATGGTTATGTGATTGATACAGTGTTTTTCTGCATGGTACTTACGTCCTTGCCCCATAAGGTGAACTCGGATTGTCCTTGTTCTCAGTCCAAGTTGTGAACACCGTAAGTTGAGGTCACGGTGGTGGCTGGGATTTTGCGCCTATGAATCCGAATCCGTGACCAGTCGCTGCAACAATTGCAAAAACCCGTCAAGGCTTCTGACTCTGGCTTGACAGGTTCAAAAGGTTGATATGTAAGTAACGACGTCCCTTATGGTATAATGGAAAGTACGCATGGAATTGTAGGGTGTCAAAATCGGACATGGTATTGCCTCTCTCTCCATGATATCCGGGTTCGAATCCAGGTGAGAGACTTTCGAATCCTATCAGAATATCTTTTGGATGACTGGTTTTTGGTTTTTACGATGGATGAATTATTGGATTGCACTGGACGACAATTAGCTACGTACCTTGGGTGATGGTGATGCGAGTCGGTGTCAAGTCCTTGCATTTGGAGGCACCGATGAACGGCTTGGGGTGCTTGGTGTCGACAACTCGCAATCGATTGAACTTGAAGCTTATGTAAAGGCCTGGTGGCATCGACTCGGATATCGTCTCTTATCGTACAATGGAAAGCAGGAGTAGAAGTGGTCGAACTTACAGTAAGATTGGGAATTTGGGGTATATGAGAAGTTCTCCATGATGTATGATACCTGGGTTCGAATCCTGGTAAGTAACTGTCGTTGATGGCCCCGGGGCCGAGGTATTGAGGTCAACCATCAGAACAAAGAGTGGGGGTTGAACGTTGAATATTGAATGGCTGGGATCTGGCGTAAAGCCAGGCTCCTTGACCACCCTCTCGTATCGTGTGAAGGGGAGCACGTGCTAATGTCCAAAAAAGGGTGAGTGGCTCCCCAACACACGATAGAGAGGCTGGCTTAACTGGTCATCCGGTGATCTCGGGCGTCGCTTAGAATGTTCTCAGGCAGAGTTGAAAACTCGTTTGGGACTTCTTATTTCTCGTATTTACACCTGTTTACACTGTCGTCAATGGCCTGTTTTGGGAGACGCATAGTCACGTCGTCGATGTCCATTGTCCACATCCCGTTGCGTTGTCCTCAGGCTGTGTCCATTGACTGCCATGAGTAATCAAATAGAGTTGAAGAATTATGTAGGATTGACCATCAACACATTTGCTGATTGCAAGGTTGATTTAAATTCAAGTTTGCAGCGATGACTGGTATGGTGGGGGCCATAGTGCCTCTCCTGGCAGTGTTACTAAGTAGCAGGTATTTTGCGTGGTAACGGTTAGAGAAGGAGGGCGCAATGGTTACTCGTAACTTAGTTTGAGGTCAGGGGTATTACTGCACTGGGCATGGATGATACGCAGCATGCCTTGTGTTTGGGTGTTATCCACTCGGTGTTATCCACTCGTTGGTTGATGGCGCAGTGAATGACATCGACAAAGTATAGGTACTTTCTTACCTGTCAGTATACGAATCATGGCCACGCCAACAATGAGGACAACTCTGCGTTCTTGGCATTTGCCGGTCAGCCAAGTCTGCAGTGCATAGGCCACGAAATGTTCTTGTGTTGGCGGATTCAACATGCTTTCAGGTAGAAATCCAGGAACCGACCTGATGACGGATCGGTTTTGTACGGGTGCAGCAATGACACTATGCCAGGAGTCGTATTTGGGAAATCTGTGGGGGGAGCTTTCAGACAAGCGAGCTTCTCATCCTTTCAAACTGGGAAAGAATACGAGACCACTCGAACATTGATATCTCCAGTTGCCGCATCGTAATAGCGTCCTACTACGATAGGGCACGTAACTTCCGTATGCTCTGGGCTTGCAGCAGCTGGGGCTATCGTCAATCTTGATTCCGGTTGAATTAAAAGTCGTCGAGGAACGGATGGTCGATGCTGAAGGTACTTCAAACTCTTCGCAGAGTTCGCAGATGACGGGTGTTGCTGATCAGCGCTGAAGCGCTCAGCGTTAACTATCAGCCTCGAACTCGGAGGCGCACGAAGGCACTCTCGACGACGTGATGCCTTCCTCATAAATTGGAATGTAAATACATGTAAATACGAGAAATAAGAAGTCCCAAACGAGTTTTCAACTCTGCCTGAGAACATTCTAAGCGACGCCCGAGATCACCGGATGACCAGTTAAGCCAGCCTCTCTATCGTGTGTTGGGGAGCCACTCACCCTTTTTTGGACATTAGCACGTGCTCCCCTTCACACGATACGAGAGGGTGGTCAAGGAGCCTGAACAATACCAAGCAACAGGAGAAGGTAACCACCTCCCCCGGTAGGGTCAGCCATTCATCTTTAGTCATGGACTGTCCGAGTTTCATCTCATACAACCCCATGTACCCCCAGTTGTTTGGGGCCAACCCAGAGAATACAACCCACTGTAATCCTGAGAGGCTGGTGTCCTGGCTGTTCTCTGTCATCGTAACTGAAAAATATGAACCCGGAGCCCCAGCAACCCTGGGGCCAAGGTGATGAACTTTCAGGTTGACGTAGAGGAAGTTCTCTGGCCTGGTCATATCCCTAGTGTCAGGTCGTATTTGGAGTGCGTTTCCGCCATAAATTGTTGATATGAAGTCGCGGGAAAATGCAGGACCTTGTTCGCACCTTGGCCCTGGAACGGGAACACTGGTAGGACAACGGGTACTGGTAGTGTTTCGGTTGAATTCGATACCCCTGTGATCCTTGCAAATTTTCAGCTATCCTGATGGTAATCATGACATGACCTGCCGGGGCTCACGTCTTTGAGGTCGTCCATTGCTTGGTCGACGGTTTCAATTTGAGGGTGTTTCTCTTTGCACTTAATATTCGGTGCAGCTGATGTGACCTACGTAACAGTATATTGGTAGTTCTCTCAGCGTCAAAGAAAGGCAGGAACTTACCACTGTTCTATGTGGAGACGTACTTTGACCCAGATCTGACTCGGAGAAAGGGGGACGCCGAGTAATCACGACAGCCTCCATGAAAAAGCGCGTTCTGGTTTGGCGAGGAGGAGGCGATGGCTGTGAAATTGAAATGAATTCACCAATTTTTGTAGATATGGCGAAGTGGAGATGACTTACAGTTACCCCCGCTCCCATGCCATCAGCCTGAGGATGTAACCTGTTGTCTTCACGCTCCAAATCTGCGGCGAAGGTGACGAAAGACGCGTCAACTTTGACTTTAGCTACTGGCATTTCTTCCTTCGTCGATACCATCCAGGTCGTCTCAGATTCCTCTTCTTTCTTTGGCTGGAAGACAATCTACAAGGAACGAGTATCAAATACGAACGGACTGGGGAAGAATTATGAACATTACACACCAATGCCGGCTCCGTTTTGACCTCTGGCTTTATCCTACACTCCATCCGTTCACTCTTAATCAGCTTGATATGATCCTTCGAGTCGATTTCATCTTTTTCCTGCCAGATGCCGGTCCCTTGGAAGGTGAACTCGGTCTGCAGGAAGAGAATGTCATTATCAACACAAGGAAGACTGGCGTAAAAGATCAACTTACTTTCACCACCACAGAATTTATCCAGTGTCCGGAAGGGAGAGTGGGGGACATGTTACAACGACAAAGAAGTTGGAGAAACCGCGTTCGCCGCTGTTCAACCCCTGACTACAGGGACGGACTTCCGAGCTTGAGACCTAGCAGAATGGTACGTAATGCAGCTCAGCTAGCACCCTTGGACATAACAAAAGCAGCATGGATCCTTTGATTGTAATTGCGTTCCCGAAATCTGAAGGCCTGCTGTTGCTGGGCCTCAGTGAAGATTCCTAAACCATGACAACTTGTTATGATCATCGCTCGTCCTTCCGGTAAACTACCATGTGTTGGGACCACAACGGCGAGAGGGAGATGGATTGATGTTGTGCCTTCGATAGCAACGATGTCGCGAACAAGTCCATGATCAATTACAAGCTGAGAAGACCAAGAGAAGACCTTAGAATAGAGTCATCCAACGCCCGTGTTTGGCTACGGTCTTAGAAGACAATACAATGCCGTCGGCATCCACATCATGTAAGAAAATGCAAGGTACTTAAAAATTAAAGTGACAAAGCCAACCGACTCAACAAAGTGCCCTGCTACAGTAGTATACAGTGTAAAGAACGAGAAAGCACCAAGGTGAATCTAGTCACTATCACTATCACTGCTCTCCTCCTCCTTCTGGTCATCATCCGTCGTGCTCTCATCATCGCTCTCAACATGTTTCTTGACCGCACCACCACGCATTGCTGCCATCTGACCTGCCAGAGTATCCTCATCAGGATCAGAGATATCATCCTCAGGTTGGTCTTCAGCAGCCAATACGGAGGCGTCGTCGATTTTAAGCTGGATACGGCGTCAGATCAAAGGAGTGGGTAGTCACGAAACGAGAGAAGACATACCACGATGTCTCGACTGATTTCCTCCCCAACGAAGGAATCACTGACAATGTAGATTTTCCATGTAAACAAACCGGTGTTGGGGGGTGCCTGGAATTGAAGCTTGTAGGACCGATAATCCCGATCTTCTTTTGGATTGGCGAATGGTACATCAGATATTTTCATAGGAGGTACAACCACACGGCCAGACTTGTCATCGGCGAGCACAATCCACCACGAGGGTTTGCGGTTCTGCAGGCATTCCGTTGAGCAAACATAAATGCTTTCAAGAGAATGGTACTTACAGCTGGCCAAAACGGTGCATGCGCGTAACCAGAGGGGATAGCGTTTTCGGGCAGGTCTTCCGTCTCCTTGCGACTAATCAGGAATTGGTGGTCCTTCTCTTCGTTCCGCTTAATGAGGCGCTTGGTCTCGTCGACAGATAACTCTTTCTGCTCCACCTTTGATGCGGTTGGTGGCGTGATCCGGAGTTTGACCAGTAAGAAGACGATCGAGGACGGGACGACGACGCGCTCTCCAATAACTAGGCAGCTACTGCGTAAATAGTTACCCACAAATATCGGACACGAGCATACCTTTGAACGAAACGTCAACAAGCTCAAGACGGCCCCATTTATCTGCAGCCTTCTTAATGTCGGAAACCCGCGAGTCGTGCTTTTTCTCAAGTGCTGAAACCAGGTCCGTGACATCCTTCACATCCGGCGAAAGATCAGCAAGTTCTTCGCTTTTAACGCCAGGGAATTGGGTGAATTGGAGCTTCTCTGATCCAGGAAGTAATGCTTGAACGAGATAAGCCTGAAGCCTCATGACCCACAATGTTGTGTGCAGCCAATTCCGTGAAACCGAGATGTTGACAAGAGCGTTGAGGAGAAGAGGTGTTTGCAATAGGACTCGTGATTGCTCTGAAAACGCGGTCAGGGAGATGTCTCGAGAAAAATGACAAGGAACATACCCTTGACGAGGAGTGGGTTTG